ATGTTTTTCCTTTCTTACCAAGATACAGATGCTTTCCAATCACCATTGTTAAATAAAAGATTTGATGAGGAAAAACAGAGTCTGGTGAACTACCTGCAAGCCAGAGGTTCCTCTGAAGTTCAGTTTGAAGCTTATATGCATTAGTGTAATGGCAAGTATCACACTCATTGAAATCTCAATAGACCTGGTCCTAAAGGTTTCATTACATTTGAGCACGGCTGAGTGCTTCAAAAAAAGACAAATTGTGTTTGTAATGCAATACAGTGCATGTTCATCACTTACACCATCATCCCTGCTGTAGGGCGTCAAATCAAATTCCTCCAAACTGATTTGTATCCAAAGATTTCACGCTGGGCTTGCAAACCATGATTTGTAAATAAAGTCAGGTTTCTGAACTTGGTGTCTGGCAGGTTTTATATTCTCTCCACTTCAAAATTGTCATTCTTGTGGCTACTATGATCATCGTTTTTGTCATTTATGTGCTCCAAGCTTTTTCAGTAAGTTGTAGGAATATCCTCACAGCTTTTCTATTCCCCTCCAATGTTTGTGCTACTATGTAAAGTTTTTGATTTGTTGCTCACTTTAGCTTAGGTTTAGGTTACTATTTAGTTTCCAATTGCTACAAAAATTAGATTTCTGTTTCTATTACTCTCATACCAGAAGAATAATAGGTGAAAATTTTAAAAAGTTTCTCTTAAAAACAATCTTAAAATTCTGAAGTTGATTTAAACTTCTAAAAGTTAACCAGATTAAATATTAAAATTTCATTTAGCTTCTACTTCCGTTTTATTTTCCTAGAGTAGAAAATTTCAAGTTTGCCATAAATTTGACCCTGCTAACACTTGATATGATTTAAGAAAAAGGACTTTTTATCAGCATGGGACATTGTACCTGAAGGAAAAAAAAAAAAAGACAGAGTAAAACATGGATTTGGTTGTACCAAATATTGCTTGAAGTAGATCAGTTTCTCAAAAAGTGAGGTGCACCTTTATATCAGAGAGTGCCATGTAGACCTCAGCTGCTCAACACGTACAAAGCTAAATGTGCAATGTTAGAAACTTTCAGCCGTGAGCTGGCAAAGGATTCCACCTGTGCAATCTTTATGTAATTTCCACAAGGTTTTACTTTTTGAGATGTTCACTATTTTACAATTTAAAAAAAATATAAATAAAAACTAAGGGTGCTGAAGAAGCTATTGAAAGCTCCTTCAGAATGTAAGAGCTGTGTTTTCAAAGCTCTGTTCCTCTCACACAAGCAGCTATTTGAGAAGTAACAGACATCCAGCATTCACCACGTTAACCTTCCTCTATTCATAAGAAGAACGGTTCAGGTGAACTTTGTGTGGCTTGAGAGATCTTTAACGTTGTGAACAGCAGTTTAAAAAGTTCAAATGCACTCAACAAAATGCTCGTGCCAACTACTTAGGATGAATTAGTATCACAGTGACTCTGACTGTGGAAACTTCTTTAAATTAAGTTTCTGAAGTGATTCTTCAGTTCTTGTCCTCTCTGTAGATTGACTGTAAATATGTGCATAATTGGAACCTCCCCAAGATAGCTGTTCTTGGCTAGATAAAGTATCTGTTCATGTTACTCGACATTGATTGGGAAAAACTCTACAAGATTTTGGTGACCATTTCCTAAAAATCTAGCACTAAAAGTGGTTTCTAAAGTCTCATTAATGAAGGAAAATTTTGAACAAAGTGAAGGATGGGATAGATTTCTTGCTGATGAGACTTGGACATTTTATTTTATATGAGAACAGCAAAATATACCAAAGGGCTTTTAATCTCTAAAGGAAGTTTTATTTTAGGTTAGGTTTGGTTTTGGGTTTGGGTTTGGTTTTGTTTTGTTATGATTTGGTTTTATTTGAGTAGATCTGAAACTGCTGTGTGTGGCAGGTTAAAATGAATATTTTGAAATATAGTTTTTTCTTTTCCATTGTTTCCTTGCAGAATAGCCCTCCACCTCCCACCCTGAGGTTTCACAATTCAGCTGAATCTGTCTAAGTGACACTAACAGAGACCATTTCTCCCTCCAATCTTACAGTGATTCTACTTATTATTTGATCCCTGTGTGAGCTGGTACAGCAAATAAAAGAATAATCATTTTTCTTCTTCATTCTTTCCTTTTTCCGTCTTCCTTCTTCATTTCCTTTTTGAAGAGAAGTCCATAATGCTTTCTTTTGTAACGATTCAAAATTTACTGTCTTTCCTCTTTCCTTGAAATAAAAACCACAAACAAAAACAACCAATCAACCAAACAAAAAAACTTTAAAATATTTTTGGAGCACTTCATTTATATTCAGAAATGTATCTTGACTTTTGTGTTCCAAAAGAAACAATAAACTGTCTGATGCATCTCTGAGCTTTAAGACACCTAATGAGATTTCTAATTTTGTTCCTTCACATTCCCCTTTATCTGGCATCACAGATTGCCTGATATATTCCAGCAGTTTGGGCAGGGAACATTACGTGGGAGTATTATGGAAAATGTAGCTATGGATTTTATCCCATGCTATTAAAAGAGTCAATAATCCATCTAAAGAAACTCCCATGTCCAATGACAATAGCTTGGAGAGCAGGAATAATGCAAAGCAACATATTTCAGTCTGAGAAAGCAAAATGTTTCAGTCCATGTGACCCAACACTCAACAACAGTTAGCAGCATTCTGAATAGTAAATGTGAACTATGATACAGACATGGAAGGTGTATGGAAAGGATTGTTTTATGGAAAATGGAGAAAAAATGATTCAGACAAAGGTGGACAGTGATTTAGTAAGTGAATGGCCTTACTTTTCTTCTACAATTTCATAACATACTGGGTAGGAAATATATATGTGTGTGCGTGCGTATGATAGAGAATAACTGTATACCAATAAGGGAGTAATAAATGTGTCATGCAGGTTATATGGCCATATTGTTCACAAATTCACTAAACAGGGCATGAAAAGGTCCTTTCAAGTTTGCAGAGAAAGTCTATTCTATTAAACTGTGTTGCCCTTGAGCCCTTTTTTTAATGGAGATAGTGGACCTTACCTTTCATATTGACCTGGTGATAAAAAATAGTCACTCTCTCATGCTGTGAGTAAAAACCTGTTTTTTTTTTTTTTTTTTTTTTTTTTGTTTTTTGTTTTTTTTTTTTTTTTAGAGGAGAATTGCATTCTTTGAAGTATGTTGATTGGGACTCTCTCCACAGGGGAGAATAGAGGTCTGCCTAAATAGGCACTGGGGAACCTACCAGGAAAGATTCTCCCCAACACTCCTCCATCATAAGAAATTTTAAGCTCTGAATATTACCGGTATTGGCCCATCTGAAATACCTGAACAGAGCAGGGTACCATGTCTGTGAAAAGATTTTTGGTTAGCCCAGTAGGTGTCACAGCCATTTAAAGCTGCTGCCTGTTCTGATACTGGGTGGAAATTACACTGAATTTTCAGGAACGGTAAATCCTGAAGGAAGTAGTAACTTCTGGGGTATGTAAGACCACACAAACAGGTGAATACTAAGAAAATTAAGTGGAATATTATTGGGTAGAATATGTACAATTTCATCACTCTTGTTAGTTTGAATACCTAGACAGTCTTGGCTTTTTTGAGAATGATCTCAATAAAAATTTTTGAGGCACCAAAGGTAGCAGTGTGTTGCAAAACAAACAAACAAACAAAACAAAAACAAACAAACAAAAAAACACAAACAAACAAACAAAAAAAAAACCAAAACAAAACACTTTTGCCTCCTGAGGATTCAAACAGGGGCATCTGTTTGTCAATGTGTTAAGTGTGCCACAGTGTACTCCAGAGGCAGTAGATTCACATCTGTTTTGTTATGTTAGGAAATTTAAATGAGCTTTTCAGAGATACAAGGATGGTGTTGTTTAGTTTTCCTCTCATATCACATGTAATTTGAATTCAGGATCCTTGCCTGTTCTTATGGAGAGACACGTTGCACATGTTTGTACTCTGCAGAAGTGTGGGGATCTTGGTGAGGTAAATGTGGTAAAAGGTAGAAAGATGTTCTATCTTGAATAGACTTAATGGTTTTTAGTAGTAAATGTATGAAAATAAAAAGGGAATAGAAGGAAGGATTCTAAGACACAGAATTTAGTCCAAGAGAAGGCTTCTTATGCATGCATCTCAGAATAAGCCTGAATCAAAAAATATCTTTAAGTGCTACTTCTGAAAGAAAATGTTCAAGGCAATGAAAGAAAATTTTAATATCATTATTCCTTTCATTTATCTTTAGCTAAGTAAAAGATAAAGATTGTTGTCATTCCCTTTTACCTTTTTGTACCTCTAAGCTGGTAATCTCTTCTGACAGCCAAAACCCTCAGTGCCCCTGACATCCTGCTCTTGAGATCTGTGACCTGGCTTTATTTCCAGTCAAACAAAGGACAGGTCCACTCCAGCTACCGAACAGTAACTAATAAATCATCTTCTTTTAATAATAACAATATTGAATTTCAGAAGGGAATAATCTCCTTTGCTGGTCTCCACTGTTTTTGAAAAATCTTTGTACTTTATGTGCCTTGGTTAGAATTCAAACCTGCAGTCCTGGACCCAGGACATCCCGTTGATTCTTACATTTTTACATAATTTCCTTCAAGAACAAAATTAGTTGCACTTTCAGGTGTTTAAAAAACTCAGGTATTGCCAGGACAAGTAGTTACTAGATGTAACACACTTTCGATATCGAATGCAACATCTATATGACTGCTTCTTAATTCTTCGTACTTTACTAGGAATAGGACATATACATATGCAGTCTTTGCCACATTTATTATCACTTTGTCTGACCACCGTGTATAAACATGTATATAAACTCATTAATAATCTCTTGTTATCTGAGGAAAGCTGTTGAAGAAGCAGCAGCTGCAGCCTATACTCTGCCTCTGCATTTTGACACAGGTGTGGTAGTTTACTTAAATTTCCTCTTAATTTCAAAACTGCTGGATGAAATGTTTTATTAATCTGAGCCACATCTTTCCTTTTGCTTTACAGCAGTCCTCCCATGGAGTTAACCAGCAGCTGCCCTGAAATTTGGAGGAGGATGTTTTACCCATAACTAGGTGAGCAGATTGGCAGACAGACTTACTGTAGGATGCAGCAATTGTTTTTGAGGCAGGTCCAGAGTATGTTAACATCATTTGAAGTGCTTTCATTGGCTTCTATCCAGGTTTTGGCTAGGGTAGAGTTAATTTTCCTCCTAGCAGCTGGTATGATGCTATGTTTTGTATTTAGGGTAATGATAATGCTGATAACCCACCAATGTTTCAGCTGGGGCACAGCAGCGCTCACACAGAGCCAAGGACGTTCCAGCTCCTCTTGCTGTCCTGCCAGCGAGGAGGCTGGGGGTACACCAGGAGCTAAGAGGGGGCACAGCCAGAAGAGCTGGCCTGGGCTGTCCAAAGGGTTGTCCCATGCCACGTGGTGTCTTGCTGAACAATAAATATGGGGTGGCTGGATGGGATTGGGGGGACTGCTGTGTGGGGAAAATCTGAGCATCAGTCACAGGTGGTTAGCAATTGCATTGTGCATTGCTTGCTTTGTACTTTCTGGTATTACTATTAATAATAGTTATAATTATTATTCCTTCCTTTTCTGTCCTATTAGACATTCTTTATCTCAAACCAAGAGCTTTTGCATTTTTTTTTCCTGATTCTCTCTCTCTCATCCTAGTGAGGGGTAGAGGTGGGGGTGTGAGTGAATGGCTGTGTGATGCTTAGCTGCCTGCTGGGTTAAACCACAATTACTTCTTTATGTACTGAGAATGTTTTGAACATTACCTATTCTTACTATGGTTTCAAACCCACGTACCACCCCCTACTTTCTTAAGGCTACAAACAAATCTCAGGACGCACAGAAGAATTCCAGAGCGCAAATTTAAGTGTTTGATTTGCTGTGCATTATGTTTGCATGCTATAATTGAAAACTGTTTATAGAGGGCAGAAAAATTAGAAAGATCTTTGTATGGAACATTTATCTCTTGATGGAGTCTATAAGAGCTGGAAAGGAAAAGCAAACCACTTATTTTCACATTTGCACTGCGATTTCTAAGCATAATTGTGACACGGTAATAACAATTTAAAAGCAATTTCATTGGTACTGGAAAGAAAAAAAAAAGCCGATGATACTCAGCAAACTGACAGCAGAGGGCACCAGTGTCCTGCATTGGAGAAAAAATGTTTTTTCCCTTATGTAAATTGTACAATAAATCCTTGTTTGCTCTTACCAACTTAATGCAAGAAAACCAAAGCAATATGTCAGTTTTAACAGATTTTTAAGGTTGGCTGTTTTGAGTGTTTCAGATAAGTGCTTGTTACGGAAATGCAGTTTCCAACATCAGATGCCAGAAAGAAAAAAGAAAAATGTCTAAACTGTTGTTTATCAAAATACGTTGCTCACACATTTGCTAAAGATAATCCAGTTGTAAGGGCTTGTTGCTTGTGAATTTTTAGCCCTTTCTTTCCTAAGAAAAGTATTTATTCTATATGTAAAATATTTCATGCTCTATTTATTAGAAATCTAAAAGTTGTAATGAATCTGTAGGAAAAAATCTAATAGTGGCTTATGTGACAGTTATTTTCATAAAAACTAACAGAAACACCAGAGAAAACATTTTGTTGCTGAAATCTATGCATTTTACTGGCAACTCCAAAAGCTGAAGCAGACAAGGTTGAAAAAGCTAAGAGCATCCACATAAAATATTCATTGCATTTCCTTGGTATTAACATGCATGTGTAAGTAGATAGTGCCTACCACCAGTATTTCAGCTTGCTGTAGAGATGTGAACCCTTGTGCCCCTAAGACGTTTACCTGTTGTCAGGTACAAGGGTCAACAGGAAGGGCGGTGAGTGCATGTGAATATTTTTATATATGCCACAGAAAGATTATACCATACGCTTTTATGACATTATATACTGTTTATTGGTGTGCATATATTTATTGGTGTACATATTTACTGAACAACACTGTTGCATTGTGTTATGTTTATTTAGACAATGGCTGTAACAGGATGACAGCGGGAACAAGTTCTTTGCAAATAGCATTGATGCAGGGTACCTTTTACACGTTCAGAGAACACTGAGATAACTGCTTATTGTGAGACCAGTGATAGAAAAAAGAATAAGTAAACCCACTGGTTATTCCCTTGGCCTAACACTGTTTTTATTATTATTATATATTCATATTTGTTTATTGAAAATAACCATGTGAAGATAATGAGCTGAAGACCATTCTTTGTTTCTTGGCATTCTCAGGCACTTAGTCTCCAAGGATTTCAAAGTTGGCATGCTCTAAATTTGTAATAAAATACCCTTCTAATTGGTAAGCATAGAAAATATTACTTTAATAAATATTTGATGAACAAAGATGTTTTATCTGTTCATTAGACTCCAGAGTAATATATGTTCATTAGAAGAAGATGAATGACAGCATTTAATATTCTTTGTTTACAACAGAAGGTCACATGGAAGAATATATTAATATGTAAGTTGTGACCTTCACACTTTGTCAGTTTTAATGACAATGGGTTTGTTTCCCTTATATGGTCAGATCTGTGTTTGATTTCCAGCTTAATTAAGGCAATTAAATTCACCCTCTGTGACAGGTAAAATGCATTGTGATTGGCAAGACTGGTTTGGTTACTTCTAGTTTGTCCCAAAATAAATAAATAGATAAATAATAATTAAAAAATCCTTTTTGAGAAGGGAAATGTTCACATGCCATGGAATGAAATTGTAAATTACTAATGGATATATGAGCAATTAATATCAGAAACAAGTATCAGAAATAACATCAGATGATTTTTCTTTTTGGATACATATGTACCTTAGCAAGAAATAACAGTTACAGAAAGAGAAAGGTGCGGTAGGTCTCTTGCACTGCTTATCTCATAAGTCATGAACATTCTCTAAGTTCTCAAAGCTGTTAGATAGTACAACTCTGTTTAAAATTGCATGGCTGGTAAGTGTATTACACTTATAGCTTTCAGGCATGGTTTCACAGAAAATACAGTAGGAACAAAGAAACAGTGGGACAGAGAGAAATAATGCTTAGAGCTTGTCAAAAGCTGTTTTTGTTGGATTGTTTATTGAATGTAACAATGCTTTCCATTATCACTTTCCATCAATAAAATCATTTTATTTGAAAATCTGTTCTACAGTTAATCTTGGGAACCAGGATCCAGTCATCTTGCAGCCCAGAAGAGGAATCAGGCCTACAAGAAACCATGGAATCCCAGCTTTCATTGATTTCTTACTGATTTTCAAATGAAAAGAAAGTAAAAATATCAGAATTTCCTGGAGGACACACACTTAAATCAGCAACAGTGCTGGAGAAAAGCCATTCCAATAAGACGTTTGACTTTGTGGGAGGTAAGCAAGGATCTTTACCTGATGTATATAACGTGTTTTATTAATAATATAGATATCTCAACAATGTGTTCTTTTGCTTTTTAGCATATGCTCTTCTTATTTCTTGTTTCCATAAAGCATGGTCTATGAATAATTCTTGTGGCATATATGGGTCAGGCTACTAAAGAATTCAAAGGAACAATACTAGAAAACAAGAAAGTTTTTGTCATACATAATCTGCATACAAACTCTTTTCTTTCATTTTTTTTTCCTTCTGTTTTCCTTTTTCGAGTCGCATAGTTATCATTCCTCTTATAGAAAAGCAGAGCTGAAAAAAAACACATGTATCTTTATCGTGATCATTTGGTTTCGTCATCATACTTGATTTTTTTCCTCATTTTAATTTTGTACTATAAATGCAAACATTGAATGCTGACTTCTGAGCAGTAGCCTATCACATACTCACTTTACAACAGTAAGGCATTAGTCAAAAAAAAAAAACGAAAAAAAACCACAGCAATAAAACCAGCCATCACTGTGCTTCTGCCCTCCATATTTCTGTAGAAAGGTCTGAAGAGAATGCAAACTGCTTTATTTTTGTGGTTTTGATTTACATTTCAGTGAGTCCACTTTCTCCAGTGCAAAAGTACTTTCTTCTCATTCTCATAAGCCTATATGTTGCATAAATAGCATATGACTATGGAGGAGTCAGAGTAAAGGATGCAAGCAAGAATTACACATATTCAAAGGAAGAAATTAATAATTTGGATGTATGTCTCTTGAAGGGAAAGCACTATTTATAATGTTTGGTGAAAAAAATGAATTGTTTGTAGATTGGTTCCATTCATGATGATAACTATGAAAAATTGTACCCAAGATGCTGAGAGAGCAATGTCATTACCATGAGCAAAGCATCCCCATTTATTGAAGCAGTGCTGATACACTAACTATTCTCTTTTTCCCTGTTCTGATAGAATTGTGTAGCCACAGCTGAGCAGAGGGGCTGTCCCTCTGCTCCACCACTCTGCTTTCAGCACAGGTCTGGTGTCTGTCCCAGAAACACTGGGACTTGCTAGCAGCTCTGCCCCCAACCCAAGAAACCATGAAAGTGAGGGAAGCCAACTGCTCCCCCTCTCCTTTTGTTCCTCTATTGTGCTACTCTTTTGTGGTGTCAGTTGCAAATATGTTTTCATCCTGATTAAGAAAAGTCATTCTGTGGAATTAGGAGCCAGGTAAACTTTGCCCTCTGGTGACACAGTTAATACAAGTTGTTAATAGCTACTATATAGAAGTAGTGCTGGGTTATCTGAGATGAGGACAGCAGCTGACGTTGAATCCTGTTTTTCTTTCAGAAGAAGACTCAGTTTTGACTCTGTTTTAATTCTTACCATACATTCATTAGCATTTCTGTGAAAACCCATAATTTCTATGGAATTTATGATAAATTAGTGATTAAGTTCTTTGCACAGGAAGAACATTAGTAGAACAAGGCCATATATTTCACATGGGTAGCTGTTCAGAATGCCCTGTGACATGTCCAACAAGAACTTTGTCCTACAAGCACTGTTGGAAAGTTCAGAAGTGGCAACAAGATCCAAATAGGTGGGATGCTTGAACTTTCCCTCCAGATACAGGTAGTGTTCACCCTCAATACACAGGTACACAGGCCAGTGTGCCCATGATTACCTGTTCTCTGAATAAAGAGCTGTTCAGCTTCAGTGATATTAATCTGACAGTGTTTTATAATTTGTTCCCACTTCAGATTTATAACAACCCAGCCCCCCCAAAAAAAAGTTTAATTTGGACCTGGTTCCCAACCAAAGTTGTACCAATCCTGTGTACAATTACTACTTTTTGTCACGTGTCGTCTGTTAATTTCTAAACAAGTTACATTTAAAAACACTGGAAATTCCTATGTCAGATTTTAGAACCGCTTTTGACACTCAGAAATTGAAAAGGTTTCTCGCGTCATTGAAACACCAACATTTGGCAGAAGTTGTGAGGGGTACACTGCCCTCACATTGACACACTGTGACACACTGCCAGAGCAGTAAATCTTGAATTATAATTGCTATGACAATGCAGCTGAAGAAAACACAATGATTACTCATGAGGTAAAATAAATGTCTGTACCTGTCATGAAAAAATCTACCTGTGATGAAAGCTACTTTTTGCATTAAAAAAAAATGTGCTTGAAATTTGCATCCAATTCTATTCAAAATTAATATGGCTTGATATAATTTCTAGACTTTCCTAAATTGTTTCCCAGGATAGTTATGTATGTACATATGCATTCTATTTTTCCACAGTCACCTGAATTAATTCGACATAACAAAAAATCAGTACTCCTTCTATAAGCCAGATGTCAACATCCATTTTTTAAAAAAAAATCGTATTCTTGTCACTCCTTTTCTATGCAGAACTGGTTTGTTTGCCAAAATTAAATGTGTGATATTAGACTATGTGCACGATTATAAATAGATTTATTTGGCCAGTCCAGTGTATTACCAATGCCTTGTCCATGCTGTTCCTTGCAATGCACCTTTCTCATGTTCTGCAACTTTCTGGTTTAGGTAAATGCTGTATTTATATGTTTGATGATATTACTCAGTTCCAGTATGGCAGATTTCCACTAGAATTAAAGGAGAAGAATGACATCAGCCAAATTACTAAACAGTTAGACTCTACCAGGTTCAGTAAGTCTCCTAACATTTGTAAGTAAATGCAGACAAGAAAAGAATACTCAGGAATATGTCATATGCACTAACACCAATTTGCATTTTCCGAAAGCATCTATTTATTGCCATCATTAAAGTAAACAAATAAAGAGTACTGGAAAGGATGTTTTAAATCAGATTGGCAAGTCCTATAGTCTGCTGACAGAGAGGAGAAAGGCTATCATATTGACTGTTTTTGTTAGGGTACATAGGCCTTCTGGAAAAAGGCAGGGGGGAAGGAAGGGGACGCTTTCCAAATTTTCTGTTGGAAAAGTTAGTATGTTTGATGAACAATGCAGAATAACTCATTGCCCTTCATGGAAGAGCTTACAAGAAGAATGAAAAAATAACTTTGTCGGAAAAATAGAAAAAATAAACCAGCAAAGTTGACAAATCACCATCTAGTTACCTATTTTTTTTTTTTATTTTTAAAAACAGTGCACAGAATATTGAGAACAACATCCCTTATGTCTTATGAACCTTCAAGTGCAATGCCCTCTATAGATTACACCTATTATTGAAAAACTGTGTACTAAAATTACTGTTTATTACTGGGGGGAAAAAAAGCGGGTTGCAAGAGAAACTCTGACCTAAGCACTTGTTTGTGTGACAATACAAGTTTTCACACTAAATTATTGGATGCATTTGTCAGATTGGGCTAGATAATGTCAATGAAAGAGTCTAAATAAAAGTAATTTTCAAAGATCAAGCCTCTGAAGTCATCTTTTACAACATTAATCTATATGTGACCTGCAATAGAAAATGATAGCACCATAAAATTTCTATGAGTTTCAGTTCCCTACAACAAAAGAATCTAAATGTCATGATTTTAGTTTTGACATCACAAATTTTGTACTTTTGACACTGTTTAATAGAGGTGTCAAAAATGCAAATCAGTTACCGTACTGACAACAACCTTTTAATGTTCAGTGAAGAGAGGGTGGAGAAGGAGATGTTAGAGATTTCTTAGATATCTTGAAGGAGGGATGTAGAAATCCCACAAGCAGCAGTTTTGACTGTGTAGCCAAAATCTGAAAAGAATCAAATGTTAAGTATCAAGTTAACAATTTAATAATAATAATAATAACACAACAAAACCCTCTGAAGATGAGTTTGCATTCAGACAAAAAAAAATACACAACACATTTTGTTCAAAATTGTATTTGTTGTTTAAAAAGACCCCTGAAAATGTTCCTCCCATGTGTCTATCAATTTCTATTCCTGTCTAGATTTTTATCATTGTATTTAGACCCTTTCAATCCGTTTGTGCTCTGTGGGTGTAAGATGGGATTTGTAGTCATGCAGGAAAAGCTGAAAGTGAAAAAATTCATTTCCTGACATCCTTAGGCCACAGAAAATAATGTCAGTGGAGTGTGAGGGATTTAAGAGAGACGAAGGAAATGAAGAAAAGAAAGGCAGAAATCTACAATATACAAGGACTTTGTCCTAAAGACTTTTGGTCAGAAACAAAGCCTATATGTGCAAAACGTCAGTCAATATGTGAGAACATTTAGGAGACAAATTGTAATACTGCATTTTTTTTTATTTTCTTCCCTGTTTGACACCTGTAGGATGGTAAAGTGTCTTTAAGGATGACACAAGTCAGTTGCTTCAATTCTTAACTGAATAAAGATTTCATTCTTTACAGTGGAGATTGGTACCAGATTTGGGTTGACAAAGTTTTGAGATAACTGACCTTCTTTCTATTGGGAAGATTGGGAAGAATACCAAAATAAGACACATCCAGGTTTGTCAACTATTGCACAATTGTCACAGCTCTCCTGTATTTCCATCAGAGAGGACAGGTGAAAGAGCAATTGCTTTCTGTGGAGGAAGTTTTGGCTTAACTCCATGAGAGGGTGTGTAGGATGCCTTATTGAAGAACAGAAGCAGTTTTTCCAAGAGTGTTGTTTGTAAGACCTATGCATTTTTTGTGCTTTCCTGCCCATAAAGGCAAGTAATACGACATCAGAACAATCTCTTGTTTTTGTGTATCAGAGTGAGCTATATTCTGTTCTGCTGCTACCTGCTTTCCAAATGGGATTGGGACTGGAAAATCCAATAATGAAGAAGTTGTGTAGCAGCTTTAGTAACACACTGCTTACCCTGATTAGAGGTCAGGAAAACAGACTAAACAGACTAAATGCTAGGAATTTCTAGGATAGAGAGGAATAGAGAGCAAATGACATAAGTGCTATATAAATCTCTGGTGCCCCTATATCTTGGCCACTTCATGTGGTTCTGCTTTCCATATTCAGAACTGCTATGATAGAAATTGCAAAAGGAAGTATCAAAGACACTTCT